GATGCAATTTACTTTTGTAGCTTGTGACATTTAGGCAAAAATTGATCGAGAGTCCTCGAGAAAAATTTACATTTCTAGTACATTCATTACTTTGTGATTTATACTGTGTGTTAAAAGTTATATTAATTATTCATGAGAGTGGGTCAGGTCAGGGAGAGGCTCGGAGATTAGTGACGCATGAAGTGTTGCTGGCCCCCGGATGCGTTTCGTCATGTATACACATAATACGATGCTCTTCCTGACGTAGTAAAATGGTTCTCAAATCTTCTTTTATGTCAAAAGTGTTTTTTTGACCACGAGAGATAGCCGTGGTAAAACTAACCGGTTATTCCAAGAGGTAACTAATATGACACTCTACGTAACAAAAACTATTATATCAATTGTTATCTTTTTTTAAATTATTTCGATTACTAGTTTCATTAAATTAGGATCTATATGGCATTGTGAGCTGGCATTGTGTGATAAGTACATGATAAGAAATAATGAACATTTAGGAATGAAAAAAAATTTTTGGTCACCACGCAAATTCTTTTCAATCTTAATTGTATTTTTATCAAATATATACAATAATCAACATGAAACAACGTAACAATCAGAAAAGAAATTTATATAACTAAAAATTGATAATTAAATAATCTTAACATTTTTCCAACATTTTGAATACAATATGGATATTATTGATAATAATTTTATAACTTATAATTTTAGTCACGCATGTATTAAATATTTTAAATACGTTACAAAGAAATGAGATAAGCACATAGCCTCAATCTGATTGTATTGGCATGTTACTTATCATTAGAATACTCTTTCATTTATGCGGCGTATACAATAATTAAAAAAAATGCAATTATTATGCATTAAAGAATTTAATGCAAGGAGACAAACGAACGGAATAAAATTTTCGAACAAATAATTTTCTAACATCAATCCGCAAAAAATTCAATCCGTAAAAAATAAATGTTATTAATTAACTTCATATAGTAATACACGATATATCTTACAGTATATAACTTACAATAGTGAGCAAAGAATATCACTATGGATCTGTTCTTTATAGCTGAACTGAGCTGAACTGGCTGCACTAGGTCAGAATTTATCTTTCTACTTCTAACGTGGAGAGAAAAAAATAAACTCTGACCTAGTGCAGCCAGTTCAGCTCATTGTCAGTTCACTTACAAAGAACAGACCCTCTATTGCATATATAGATTACACTGTACAAACTGATAGAAAACTTTACAAAATAGCTAAATGTATCCACTAGGATGTAACAGACTCATTAACCCATTCAACCCTTAGGGGTTAATATAAATAATTTTACCTGTATATATATATTTATTTTAATACTGCATCTTCATTATGAAGATAGCAAAAAGAACTTTTCTTTATGAGCATATTGCAAGATTATTATTCATTATTCATTTTAAATAGCCTACATAGATTGTCAATTTAAAAGTGTACAATCCTAAATATCTTAATAGATATATTCGTATTAATACATATTGACAATCTGATTATATACTATCGTAACTAATTTATTCCAAGCTAGAGTCTAGAATGAATCCCTCATTTTCATAATTTATACCTGAAGAAGAAGATTTGATTTGGTTACCGATATCACCTATATATATAGATATATATAATTACTGTTTATGTCAGGGTGTCATCACCGATGCTAGAGAAGGGAATATCTCTGCTTGCAACGGTCCGTAATCAACTTCCTCGCCGTCTACGGTTATGTGTCCACTCGTTCCTTCCATAGGTTCTATCCGGAATGCTTTCACCGGTATCATATCAACGCCAGGACAAGTTACATGAGTCCCGCTACTCAGACCTAGTAAAAACTAATGAGCGGACATAGGTGGTAAATACTATACAGTTTTTTCTCTGGTCTTTTACACTGTTTTTGAATACAACTACTTACTTGCACCAAGTTAGACCGTGTGATGCCGGCTTTAACTATTAAAAGCCAAATAACTCCGTCTGCCAGCCTAGCACGTGGTGCAAAAAAATAATCCTGTCCTAAATGCGTTTGATAGGCCGCGTGTACCATTACGAATTCCCCTGAAATTGTTGAAGCATGAAATATCCATTTATCCGAGCCTATTCGTCCTATATGTTATCCGTTAACGTGCGTGTCGATTCTCGTGAATCATAATGCAAATAGTATAGTAATTCTATAAATTTGCTTTTTCTCAATGCATCGTATTATAACTAAGATATGTGTGCTACATTACATGAAAAAATATTTTTTCAATCACGTTGTTCTCGTGAATCATAATGCAAATAGTATAGTAATTCTATAAATTTGCTTTTTCTCAATGCATTTTCTCAATGTATTATAACTAAGATATGTGTGCTACATTACATGAAAAATATTTTTTCAATCACGTTCCACACAGTGTATTCGGCATTTTATTGAGCATTACGTGTGACGTTGCTACATATTTAACTGGAGTTAAAGGGTTAATAAGTGATGCATTAGCGCGGCAACCATTGCACCATATTATATGACAATTACAAAAAAAAATATACGTTATTGAACTCGTCTCACTCTCGCGCGCAAACTTTATAAATATCAAAATTAAAATTTTTTTTTTCGGCTACATGTATATCTTTTAAATATTTTGAGAAATATCTTAGATAAACATATGTTTAGAAATTAAAAGAAATTTATCTCAAGTTTTGAAGTGAAAAATTTTTAATTTAAAATCCACATGTATCATACATATATTCTTTTTGCAAAATCAATGTGATACATTTGCGTTTATATATGGTATGATTTGCGTAATTTAAATAATTATCCCAAAAAGTCCATATATAACCATATATGTATAATTATATATAAAATATGTCCTTTTACCTTGCACCATTGTCCAGGAATCTGAGAGTTGCGTAGTCAACGCTGGAAGCGTAGACGGCGGTCCGTACATAACTTGGTTCTTACAAATGTTTTCCGTATCTAATGCCACACGAAATTTATTATTTAATAAATCTTATAAATTCGATAAACGCATGTTCGATTAGTAACGTACCAATCTCCGTGCTATCATTCTCGCCGATGCTGTGATAACTCGAGTTAGCCGAGCCTGTGCTAAAATAGGTCGACTTCGCCGATATTGCGGAATAGAAGCTACCTAGTCTGTTTCTTCTATCGATTTGTGTCTCGAGAGCCAAATTCTCAGTTATCACATCATTATCACCGTTTAATTCGTTGGACGATTCACCAAAAGCATCGTAGTAGCTCTTTGATTCTGGTGTGGTACAGTACCTTCGAATTTGATGCCAATTTGGCAACAATGTGTTATCAAATTGCTTACTGGGTATATATATATATCTTACAGATATCGTAAATTTACTAAAAGGCAGACGAGACATTAGAGATGCACACGAGATATTATACAGGGTGTATCCTAAAAAGTGTCCCACTTTTTAGGATACACCCTGTATATATATATATATATATATCACTTTCTCTCCTTGTTATATCTAATGCGATATTTTATGCGTAAAAAATCGTTTGCAAGAGAAAAAGAATCAGAGAGAGAGAGAGAGAGAGAGAGAGAGAAAGTGTGTGTCAAATAAGAAATCATTGAAATTAATATCCGAAATAATTGACATGCGACATTATGTTTTATTTATATATACTATATAATAAAACTATAAATTTTGTACTTGTTATAATGAACTCTAAAGAATATTAAAAATCATTACGTTCAAATACGATTGTAATGAAAAAAATGGAAACGTACGTGCGAAATCGTTTTTAAACACATTTTCAGATTCAGTTTTTACATCTCCCTAAATATTCAAGAGCTCGTTGATGGAATTTCCGTGTATTACGCGTGTTGAGGTCATTTAAACATCTAATGCGTGGCACACATCGTTCATACAAAGTCGCGTTGATATGTATGACATGTGCGATTATCTATGTCATCATTAGCATAACTACTACACTATGATAAAAGGCCCATTATTTGCCAGGTATTGCGTACAACTATTACCTGTCCAATTCGTCGCCGTAACTTCTCGAATGCGACAATATATTCTCCGTAGGATAGTCCTTGCAATATATCTTGCCGTTTTCTAACGGGGGAACCTTGTTACAGGGTAGATACGATACTTTGCCCTTATATGTCCTTAGTCCTATTAGGCGCGCCAAGCTCCATACGGTGAACCTTTGGCCTCCGATGGCGCGCAACCGTTCGCTCTCGATGTCAATATCGGCCAGCAGACCCCAGCCCACCGATAAAAACGAGAAAAGGATCTGATTCCTAGTCTCTACACGTACGAGGTCCATCGGTGTTCTTTTGCATTTGACCGCCGATAACGCGCTGATAAGCAAGGGATTACGATCGTACGGTTCTCTGAAACATCATTTTATTTTTAAGATGACATAAATTTATCGATATCAATACGGAGGTAAAAATTTAAAGACGGAGGATTAAAAAGAAAAAGTTTTAAGCGGATATAATCGGCATAATTATCAGATGTTATGAGACAAATTACGCAGCAATAACATAATTTAACTGAAAAAATATATACACATACGTATACAAGAAAGAGAATAATAATTTCCTGCAATCTTTTTAATGATGGTACAATTTCGGTCATCAAATTGTTTCATCACTTTACAATTTTGAGAAATTTGTGATTTGTGAAAGTTGTAAAAAAAAGCAATTTTGATGTTTGTGTTTGTTTTTTTAACTTTTTAATTGTTACTTTAACTACAAATTTCTCAAAAAATTGATAGAGTAGTTTGCAAGCAAAAATTCAGCGTTATATGAAACATTCAAAAAATTATGAAAATTTATTCTCTTTTTTCTTTTTTATGTTAAAGGATAAGTATTTTTTGTTAAACTATGTAATTATCCGTCTTTTCGTAATCTTTTATCGCAAGCCTTCCTCAAGGTTTTACCGATACCACATTTGGTATAATCGCTTCATAGAATAAAACCCGATAATGAAAAAATTCCTTACAACCGTGTGTCACATAATGCAACGCCATACTTCAAGAATAATTCGATCGGAAATATTTATTTATTCGTTTAAATATAATTTTATAGTAAAAAAAAAAAAAAAAAAAACGGCGATAATTATGCCATATAAGATTCGAGAAGAATGTATAGGGTATAGACCTACTCTTTAGCATAAGCGATAGACTTGGCTAATCCGTTGCCGGAACCGCATGGTATCACTCCGAGCGGCAATTCGCGTAAAGCCTTCTCCCAATCGGGTCTCTGGAAGAGTCCGTTCACCACTTCGAAGACGATCCCATCGCCGCCGACCATCAGTAAGCCGGACCACTGATAGATATCCCTCGTGCGTATGAACTCGCGGGCGTAATTGGGACACTTGGTGATATGAATCTCGTAGGATCTCTCCGCCTCCGACAGGATCGGATGGATCCTCTTCTGGAAAGTTTCCCTGCCCCTGCCGGGTCCCGATTTCGGATTCAATAGGACCAAAAGTTTCCGATTCTCACCCGGACACGCTGAAACATTAACGGGAACGTGGCGAGAATCAATCATAAACTCGCGAAATTATTAATGTATATTTCGGCGAGATGTTCAAATCTCAACAAATTATATATAATACCTGTTATTTAATTTTAATGTTCAATATAATCGGACAAAAGAAGAGGATAAATATGTTCACTTTTCGCTGGACACGCTTTAAAAGAAATATATAAATAACAGTTTAATAACGATTGCGTAATATATAACAACTTTATTTTTCCTTTAAGCTGCGAGATAGAAACGTAAACATTTGTCACATATCTAGACAACACGCGATATGACAACGAAAAAAAGATTAATCTAAAATAAATGTAAATCAGTGTCGTATTAAAACTCCAGTATCCTCCCGCAGTATGAGTTATGACGTCAAAAGCGAGAATTCGTATGAATTTTTTTCTTGCTAAATACAGAAGTTTTTTCCGGAATAAATAAATCTCTTCTATATTCCATCACTTATTCGATAATATGAATAAATAAAATATATAAAAAAATTCTTCTTTTGTTATCCAGGATGTATGTATGACTCATCTTCATATATCTTACATTTTCGGCAAAAGTAGACAAATTGAACAAGATTTATTAATTCACTATATGATAATGTATGAAAAAATACATTTATTTCAACGTTATCTCGCAAGAAATGTAAATTCGCATAATTTCTCACTTTTCTGAAATTGTAATTTAATATAAGTTGTAATGACGTCAATCATTTCACACATCATCACATAAAATTTAATGTGCATTTATTTATTTTCCGCGTATATGTATATTTAATAACATATTTTTTAAAATAATGCTACACGCGCGCGGAGATAACATATACATAAGCATACAAAAGTTCTAAAAACGCTATTTGAATTTTTTTATACGCTAACAATCGTTAATTTATTATTTGATTTACGTCAATACAACTTTTATTTATCTTCAACTTTAAGAATTACAAAAAAATCCTGTTATTTTCTAACCAGAGAACATTTTTTACAATTATAATTTACACAATCATCCGCGCGAGATTTTTATTTCTGAACATCATCTACGTTAATTAACTCATCAATATCGAAATCGGAGTGTATTTTCAGATGCAAAAATATTGATTTTATAAACGTACATTTTTAAAAGGCCTGAATAAACAGCAGTCCTAGCTTACAAAATAAAGACTTGTTTTACTGTATAAGAGATTAGCATTAAACTGCACATCTTTACGTAATACAATTCCTAATGACAAACGCAAGCTTAACGCTTGCATAACCCGAGCTTGTCATGCAATGTCATGCAGTATTAATGTCTATTTCTATCAACATGATTTAAATTTAATTATTGATTAACTTGCAGGATGCCAGCATCAAAGAGAGAGAGAGAGAGAGAGAGTTTTTAAAAATTTCTATATTTTATTATAGAGTAATTATAGTAGAATTAGAAATTTTGATGTTTTATCATCCTGCAAGTTAACCAGCATTTTAATCACATTGGTATAGACACGTATTTATTAAGGTACAAAAATATTAACAAATTACAAAATAGATCTACAAAATTTAAAAAAAAAATTATTATAAAGTATTAAGTCTCTTTGTCATATTAATTCTCTCTCTTTTCATTATTTATCCTTTGTCCAAATTATTTTTTTATTTTGTGATAAAAGATAAATAAAGGCTAAGTTATTAATGTGAAACATTGAATGATATGAACTCTCTGAAGATTAGTGTGAATTGTCTGATAATGCGGATAATGCATCTGATATTTTTTCTAACGTTATCAGGAAACTTGCGCTATTGCGAAAGTTATTATGTTGATAATAGAAATGACAGAAAATGCCACAAGATCTCTATGTTGAAACAAGAACTGTTTTATACGAAAAATTTCAAAAACAAGTTCAAAACGAACATCTCTTTAATTTGCCTAATTTCATAAGTGATAAATGATTTGTGATAATATTACATAACAGTTTGATTACCCAGGATTTTTTCGATAACATTAAATGCCACTGAAATCGATAGAACAAGAAATTCTTGTGTGTATATGTTTTATTTGATTTTATTTTGACAGATAATTTGTAAACAGACGAATTATATACGACGAAAAAAATTCAATTACCGTTGACGCATTTTTTTTTTTAATCACTCTGCATATCGCGATAATATCACATGACTTGCATAACTTGTTGAGCGCGTGCAACTCGATGGTATTTTTGCGAACGCGTTTGTCTAATAAGCCTTTCTATGATACTTTCGAACATCTGAGACTACTTAAATCGGCGCAAGTTGTGCTTGGATGAGAAATCTGTTACGGAAACTTTCTGAAAAATGTAATACAAACAACAAGTGTTAGAGCTAAAGCAAAGAAATCTCTTCGAAAATATTTGCAATGCTAAATGGCTTTAAGCAATTATTTGCTTATTGTTTTCAAAATCATTCAAATTGCGACTCATGCTCAATGATGGCTCATTGCAATTATTTCCGCTTTCGTGCCATTCAATAAAGCGGATACAAAATAATATTTCGTGTTTGATTGTGCCAACGACATTACATAATTAAGGTGGATAAAAGATCAACTAAACGCACAATAAAAACATCGTGTAAGAAGAGCAAAGCAGAATATGTGAATTTGTAACGAAATTTGGTTTCCAAAAGTTGCTATACAAGACAAGGAGATAAAATTATCGTTTCTATACGCAAAATTATCTACCAATACATACGTATAAGCGCTTGGAAAAAATAGTGTGGTCGCGTTTTGCCACTCGTGCATCTAATCTATGCAAAAGCGTGCCCGCAACCGCATTATGCAATTTGTTTTGTTCTCGTTTCTCTAATTATTTCAAAGTTTATTTTTAACGATTATGGTGGGTTTATTGCGGATGCTAAACCAATGAATATCAAGCGGCAATCTCCGAGATAAACATGTATCTGATTGATGCATTTTACACAAATGCATTACACAAATGAACAAATTGACCATTGAGTTTTAACGATCGTATTGTGTACTCAAAGCTTCATTACAAAGACCCCGGACTTTGTCACCGTTGTTGTAGGACAAGTGTTATTCCCCCAATGGACTATTACCGTTCGAGCTCGCGACATATTGGATTCTCGGTTTTTGCACGTGCGAGAGGTAATTGGGAGATAAAGCGAGAGAGCAAGATTGAATCGCATGCTGCTAAAAAGAAAGCGCGACTCTGTTACGAATGTTGAAATTCTACAATGCCGCGTTAAAAGAAAGAAAATTAAAGCCGGAAATCACGTTGGGCAAAAATATTTCGTGATTACGAAACATTTTTACACAATGCACGTACATCACAATAAATGATAATATTATTGTAACAAGCTGACCAACGATCTTGAACGACTATAAAACTCAAAGTCATTTAAGCTGCGACTTATGTAAACCGTATTGTTTCACGCAGCTAAACGTACGATCGATGTAGAAATCAACGAGATATCGCAATTGCGGACGAAGCAAAGGTATGCCTAACAAACCAACTCACGATCGAATCAAATAGGATGCGCATTGCATTATCACATGGATCAATTATTCACGGTTAATTGTAATGCAGCAGAAATATTTTGATTCTCATAATTAAATTTACTCACACTCTCACCTCGTTAAATTAATAATTTTCTCATATAATTACATAAATAACCAATTAAAATAATAATCATTTTATTGCATAATCTGTAAGTCGAAACTAAATTGAAGCTAAACATAATTTTAAAAACTATGCATTTAAATAAACTTTCTTAGCCGTTGATTTAATTCGCCAAAATTCTAACTTTTGATATTAATTAATCTTGAAATGCGGCGAAGAATATATCAAAATAACGATAAGCCCGTCCATTGATGGACTTCTAAATAATTTCGTGAATTCTACGTGAATTTTTTATGGATAAAGAATTGCATCTTAAAATTTTGTAATAGAAAAAGTTTTAATTTGTGAATGACAATCATTGTTCTGTCTTGTTTACAAAAAATAATAATAATAAAAAAAAAAACGAATGTTGCAAAGAACATGAGTTATTGTTTTCAACATTTAGTGCACAAAACAGTTGCGGATTTATGCGCTGAATGGCTTATGATCCGAAGCGCTCCCACAACACGTGGCAGCGGATAGAATTTTTTCTAGCAAAAAAATTTTGTACGCTAATTTCGTAATATATTCGGGGATTCTCTTGATAATTTTAATTGATAATACGCAATAAAATATACTGAGAAATTATTAATAGAACTCGTGATAATATAATTGTTTCATGGTGTATAAAAAAAATTATTCGCGATATTTCGCGAAATTAGAATGTTTGACAGGTGAACCGTTGATAAGAAGATTAGCGGATATTACTCAATATACACTAATGAAATAATACTCTCTATTTATATATACTCAACATTAGCTAATTGTGCTGTTAATACATTTCGACCTCGCAAACCGAGCTTCCTCAGCGATCCAAGAGACAGTTGGAACGTGTTTACATTTTTCGGACCTTTGTTTACCAACGGATATTGGTATTGTTCTTGTACATCGAAGAAGAGACGTCTTGAAGAAATCGACAACGAAGAAATTGTCAACGCCAATTGGAATCAACAAAGATATCGATTGAAATAATTTAATGTTCATGTCACTGTCCTCTTACTGACAAATAAATAAGTAAATAATTGAACCAACATAGGATTCGCGATCTCGTTAATTATCACAATTTTTTTTTTTTTCTTTTTGTTACTAACAATAGTGGATAACTGGCGTATTAAAACTAAAAATTCGTATTAAAATTTTAACCCGCGCGATACCGATTGCTACAATCGAAAATCCAAATTGAAATTGGTAAGCGATAATAAATGACAATAAAGAAGGACTCATGAAACCCTAAAAAAAATTCTTTTTCTTCCTCACCGAAAAATGTGTATATACGACACTCACCCCCTATCAATGTTTCGAGATTGCCGTGACTGGGGCTCATGAGATTCTTGGGCACCGGCACGTTGGCGACTAGACACTTAATCGCCAGCCGCCACCTGCTGGCCTCGCGCAGATTGTCCTCGTACTTGTCGAAACTGCGGAAGCGCAGGGTGATGGTCATGCGTTCGCGTCTCATCGCGCCCTTGATCCGCATCTTTTTGAGAGTGTACGCGTATATGTAGAGATAGGCCGAGGTGTCGTGCTCGTCGTACTGTTGCTGCTGGTAAATCTCGCCGGACTCGACGAGCTTGAGCTGCGACTTGGACGCGCCCGGTCGGCAGGCGCAGCTTCCCGCGTTCCTGCGCTTGGAGCGCATGCACCTGCATCCGATTATGTCGCCGAGGGCGATCGTCTCGGTCTTGGCGGTGCCGTTGTGCTCCTTGTGCAGGCTCAGGCCCTTCTCCGTCAGCCGAACTTTGTAATACGTGTTTCTCCTCGACGTCACGTAGAAGATCTCCTCGAGGACGGCGCTCGAGTTTCCCGGGACGTTGTCCTCCATCGTTCGTCGATGATGCTTGCTCTCGACCATTTGACAAGATTAGAAGGGACGGGAGGGCAAAGGAAGGAGATAGAGGAGGGCTTTATACGCTATATACGAACCAATTTCTCTTTCCCTCTCTCTCTCTCTCTCTCTCTTTGTCCCTCGTGTTATCGGTCGACTGTTATTTTCGTCAGGCGTGGGGTATATTTCGGGGGCTCTTGTAATCTTTTCTTCCCGCCGATCTCCCCGCGCGTGCTGCACTCGATCAGGCAAAGATCGCGTGGGAATTCCGACGGGAACGAGGTTCACGATAACCCCTCGAAACAAATGATGCTCACCGGCGTGCGTTATCGACACACGGATGTTTACTCTGTATGACGCTCGGTCCTCTTCTCGGTCCACTCAATAACGTAATATTAGCGATAACCGGCTGTTTTGGCGGCCGGCGTCCCAGTATCGATTCCCCGAGGGTAGCACGTGCAAGAGCGAGCGAACCGGGCGCGAGTTGCTTTTCCGATGACGATTATCATCGGGCGGGGAAATCCCTCTCGGCCAGACAGACACGATCGAAACGCAACGAGTTTGGAGAGTCTATCCCACCGTACCTCGGCGGTACGCGTAGTAGTCCCGTGTGAAAGGAAAGGAAATGAAAAAATCACAGACGCGTTTCATTGACGATCTAACAAACGGACGGACCCGCACCATCCGTATCCGTCTCACTTTTGACAATGAGTCGCGCGAGATCGAGAACCAAAGGATCTCGAGGCGTTCGTTCTTCTCGCTCTTCCCCTCAATTCCTCGAGCGATGCAACCAAGTGTGACCGACCAATGTCCGCGCGACTCGACGCCAGTCAAAGAGATGCACGTACGGACACGCCAAGCGACGCGAAGCCAAAAGCCGCGAGCCGAGACCGGGGTCTCTCGGTCTCGGTATCGTTTCAGGCCCGTATTTATCGGGGCTGCTAACCCTGCAAACCAGCAGCGGCGTCTCTCCCACCATCGAGTTACCCTCTCTACATAGTGTATGTACGTACATACAACCGTCTAGCACTACCATTCCACCTTCCTACCTTCCACCTCCTTCCAGCCCCTCTCCGGTCTTCCCTTCCGCTCGTCTTTTCCCCTCCGCGCTCACTGCAGCGAGCGCTACCATTATGATGAACCTTAAGGCCGAGTCACACTGGGCTTAAAGTACATGGTGAAGGGTGAAGACCGTGGCGTACTGAACTTTATATTTTTTTGTAAAAAAATTTTTCTCCAAACAATGTCTATCATCTTATCGATTTAGCGAACTTATTATTGATAAGAAACATACAAAGGTAATAATTCTTGATACGTTCCGGCAGCGTGAAACAGCTTTAGTTTTCTTGCACGAAAACGAAACGACATGTAATTGCACGAACTCTATGAGTGCACGATAAAGTGGCGGACAATGAGATAGAACGAACCCATACCCATAAATAATTTTGCTGCAAACAGTGATAGAATTCAAGGAAATTCGATATTCATTAAAGTCGAGTACGCAAAAAAAAGAAAGAAGAAAAAATTCAAAGAATACGAATTCGAAGAAGTGCAACTTTTTTATTTCCTTTCTATCACTATTCTTTTATCTTGCAAATTTAACAGGAAAGTTTGTGTTTTCTCTAAATTCATCTTTCAAGAAATGTATGGTCTTGACGTTTTGAATTGCATTGCTGGTATTATTATTATATATATTCTTTATGCAAAACTTTTACAAAAAATATGGATATTACTAAAAAATTTTATAAGTATTTTTTTATTTAAATTTATAGCTGTTGATAAGCTAGAATGGAAAAGCGTCATCCTGGTAAATTATCATGACTGTCAAATAAGTCCTAAAATAATTGCAGAGTACAACCACATTATTTTAGTGTCACTTTTGACCATCTTACTAATATTTGCACATTTAATCTAAATTTTTAAAAAGGTTTAGATAATTTAATGTTGGAATTATTTCCTTTTTGTAAGGATACACTTATCGTTAGATACGAGAAGCGAAATATATTATATATTTGATCTTGTATATATATTCTTATGATTCTGAATATATCTATTATAAGACACAATTAATTCGATTTTATTGATTAAGATAAATACACAAGGATAGAATATGTTTTTGTGCGTGTAAATAAAAAAAAAATCAAAATAATAAAAAGATACGAGCGAGAAAATTAATCTTATTATTCATATATGAGCAATAAATTAAGATAACGTGCAGCATTTACATTTGTTTATACTTAGAGACGTATCACGTTTGTACTGTAAAATAACTTAAATCTGCAAAATGTATAATTGATTTATAATAATCGGAATAAATAGCGCAATTAATTTTCGGAGGCATGCGACATTGTTACGGATCTCCTCGAATCGAGTCGAGCATTTGATTCAAGTCCAGGTAATCGATATATCCTAGTAACTCTTGTGTTGTTGATTACTCTAAATTTTTTCGAGTGTTCCACGTATTCGATATATGCACTGAACTCTATAGTCTATAGCAGAGAGAAGAATGAGAGTCGCCACGCTGCCGTTTTTCGTGTAACGCTTTTTCTAGGTCGTACACTAGCGTCACGTACATCCATTTTACGCCGCTTGGAACTACATGGCCACATCCATTTTCGGTACACGAAAAACGGCAGCGTGGCGACTCTCATTCTTCTCTCTGTTTGGATGCATCTCTGTCTCTTTTTATATTATCCATCAAAATTAAGACCTAGAAAAAGCGTTACACGAAAAACGGCAGCGTGGCGACTCTCATTCTTCTCTCTGCCTACACTATCCTATCTATAGAAAATCGGGGCCAGAGTTAGAAAGAGACATGCATCTCTGTCTCTTTTTATATTATCCATCAAAATTAGAAACATTTCTCATCAGATATTATTTAGCGATAAAAGCGATACAGTGATACGCAGCTTCTAAAAAACATTAAAAATGATTGCGAATTATTTATTTTTCTTACATTTCGCAAAATACATATAAAGTCAATGTTTTTGATTACGATATCTGACAAAAATAGCAATCTATCCAGCGCATACATGTAATACTCCTATATTGCTAACGGAGCTCGAGAATCCTCCTCAAAAACATTACGATGTGAACGATATTCGTGTCTCATTCTAGAACAGAATAACTGTGCGTTGTGCGCATGCGCTGAAATATGACCCAGCATCTATGTATCCTTTTCTATGATTGGATCATTGTGGATATGTGACCAGATAAAACATGGCAGTCGAGCAAAGATAAAGATTCGAGTAACCAGTGTAACCAAAAACAATACAATTATTCTAATTTTTCGATACATCTCGCACGCGTGTTCGCTTTAAGATGATTATTTTCTCGTAAGCTCCCGGAAAAGAATCACATTTTTATCTCCTCGCAGTTTTATCGAGCGCACGAATAATACTTTTACGCACATAACCTATAAATTCCATTCTGTGCCTTTTTTCGATCAATCGAGATAACCTTGCGGTTCAATTCCGAGAAAGAAGAGAAAACAAACACTATTCCCCTTCCCCCCCCTCTCTCTCGCTCTTTCTCCCTCCATTATAATCTATAATATATTTGACATCCCACACGTCTCTCTCTCCCTCATGTATTCTATTCTTTTCTGGCGAATATTTAATATTCGGAAACATTAACATTAACATTCCAATCCGAGAATACAAGGTACATATTTCGTTTCGTCGCATAGTCCATGATCAATCGATACAGTATCGATGTTGTTAGAGTTGCGTGGTGTAAACAAACGTCATATGTAATACGCATTTGTGCTGGATTGTAAGGCGGCGCGGGCGTTTATCATGGCGATCGCACGCTCTTAGCACGAACAGCTGATTCGGCGAGTGATGTTTTCCCGCGTGGTATAACATAACATAACGTACAGTTGGTGGAGAACGCGACAGATCAAATCTATATCGTTCGGGAAGTCTGTCTCTCTTTCTCTCTTTCTTTTGCGGCTGTCTTGTTTCTGTTGACACGAGCGGAAAGATGTGTATTGACGTGTCCTAATGACGTAATTGGTCGAAGAGGCAAGACTGTTCTCGCGAATGTCCACGTATGTACATACATATGTGCGATCAATCGCGCACTTTGTATATCGCGTGCCTGTCTGGGGCGATGAGCACGCTAAGATCACCGGCATTCGGTGTTTTGTAATGTGAGAAGTCGTGTTGAAGGGAAAAAAAAAAAAAGAAGAATTCCACCGAGCTATGAAGTTCAACGAGGGCGCCGTGTTCCTGCTGTTCCTAGCGTTCCTGTCACTCGCGTTGTGCGCGGAATCGGAGAATGGCTCGAAGAAGCGCGGCGATATCACGCGTCAAAAGTCAAATTCCAAGGAGGAGACGGAGGAGGAGGCCGCCGTCGAAGACATGGAGAATGCCTTCGAGCGTCTGCACGAGCTGAGCGTTTTGCGCGACACAATATTGAAGCTGGTACCGGCGTCCGATCCGATTTACGAGAAGATTAGCAAGCAAGTTGGCAGAAAGGACGAGGAGAGCAAGACAGAGACCTTGGAAAGTCCTAGCAAAGAGACCTTGGAAAACCCTCCAGGGACTAGAAATAATGTATGGATGAAGACTATGATAGCCGAGACGAAGGATCCGGATCTGGTTATAAATGGGAGGCAGTTCGATGATGAGGATATGGAATCTTGGGAAAATCAAGAACTGTTCGACATTCTCGAGGAAGCGATCCAAGAACCATTGTCGCCGGAACAACAGACAGGTAAATCGAAAAGCAAAGGATATTTCTTACTTTGATCACAGAAATACTTTGCAGTCCTTGTGTATCGTTTCTTCGTAACTTTCCTTCATTGTTACAAAGTAATGATCTTTTCCAGCCGAGCAATTGTTCAAGAATGCACAGAATATCTTAAATGCGATGCGTGCTAACAAGTCCGAGGGTTACGAATTGCTTATCGAAGCAGCTAAGTTGGGCCATCGAGAAGCTAGATCTATATTGGCGTGGGCAAGATTACTTGGATCTCGTTTGGGTTCTGCGTCTCTGCGAGTATCTATCGACGATATACCTAGTATATTTGAAATATTCAAAGAGCTCACAAACACCGGACTCCCATCTGCTCATATGGTATATACATAGTATGGTAAATGATTAAATATTAAACTTAGAAAATTTTGAAGTCAACAATTGTGTATTTGTATAGGGAATGGGATTTTTATATGCGACTGGTATCGGCGGCGTTAATGCATCTCAAGGAAAAGCTTTACTTCATTATACTGTTGCTGCTCTTGGTGGAGATACTCGGGCTCAAATGGTTATGGGATATCGTCATTGGGCAGGAGTAACAACACCAGCATCTTGCGAGCGAGCGTTGGATTTTTATCGAAAAGTGGCGAAAAAAGTCGCGGAGGAAGTGTCGTTAAGCGGCGGCCCCGTAGTCCAACGTGTTCGATTATTGGACGAACATGAAAATCCGGGATACAGTTCCGGAATCTTCGATCAGGATTTAATAGAATATTATCAGTTGTTAGCCAAAAAGGGCGACACTCAGGCGCAGGTCGGATTAGGTCAGCTTCATTATCAAGGAGGTAGAGGAGTTCCTTTAGATCATGAAAGGGCTGTACAATATTTCCAACATGCTGCTGATGCTGGCAATCCAGTCGCTATGGCTTTCCTTGGAAAGGTATCGAACTCTAAAGCAACAATGCTTAGATATATCTGGCGACATGAGATTATTTGCTACATGTATAAAAATACATATTGACACTACTCTCTATTGCACTGAAATATAATTGTAATAGTATTAATTTTTTTTTGAATTTTTATATGTGTTTACAGATTTACTTAGAAGGAAGTGAAATTGTCAAGCAAAATAATGAAACGGCATACAAATATTTCAAGAAAGCTGCAGATTTAGGCAATCCAGTAGGTCAAAGTGGATTAGGTCTGATGTACTTATACGGAATGGGAGTAGAGAGAAATACTGCTAAAGCGTTGCAATACTTTGGTCAAGCTGCAGAGCAAGGCTGGGTCGATGGACAACTGCAATTGGGCAATATGTATTTTAGTAAGTATCATAATTTACATTTGTGTGTGTGTAATCATTCTCTCATTTATATAAGATAATTATTTATCGCTGACCGATATGAATAAAGTTTGAATTGAAATATTTCAGGCGGTACAGGTGTCAGACGAGATTACAAATTGGCAAATAAATATTTCAGCTTAGCCAGTCAATCTGGCCATGTGCTGGCATATTACAATCTCGCTCAGATGCACGCCACTGGTACTGGAATGATGAGAAGTTGCCCGACAGCTGTGGAATTAATGAAAAACGTTGCCGAAAGAGGAAAATGGAGCGATCAATTGATGATGGCGCATAACGATTACAGAGACGGCAGAATAAATGAAGCCTTTCTGAATTATGCTCTATTTTCCGAAATGGGTTACGAGGTCGCGCAAAGTAACGCGGCGTTTATTTTGGATAGAGAGGAAGGTTTAGTTAGAGCTTTGGCGTTGTGGGCGCGAGCTGCCGCGCAAGGATACTCTGCGGCACAAGTATAGATCGTTATATTTTACTAATAAAGATGCGCGGGTGAAATTTGCACATTTTCAACGTTTTGTTTTGTTTCAGGTAAAACTCGGCGATGCGCATTACTACGGCAGAGGAACGAAAATCGATTATGAGGCCGCCGCGGGTCACTATCGTTCGGCATCCGAGCAACAGCACAACGCTCAGGCCATGTTTAATTTGGGATATATGCACGAACGTGGTTTAGGTTTAGCGAAAGATCGCCATTTAGCTAAGCGATGTTACGATTTAGCCGCGGATGCTAGTCCCGACGCCCGTATACCTGTAGCGCTAGCCCTGATCAAACTTTCCTTCCTATTTGGCCTCGATTACTTGCAAGAATTCAGTTTGGTCGATCAATTGGATAAGTGGGATCAATTGCTGGGACAAAACTGGGATCTATATCTTATCGGATTTCTCACAGGAATGCTCAGTCTTATTATATACTTCCGCAGACCGCAGCCACCTCCTCCACCGAGACCTCCTGTTAACTAAATTTTATACTTTCATTCATTATATCTCATATACATATATATATATATATAAATAAATATACATAGATTTTTCTAGGTTAAGCTTGGAAAGAATTTTATAAGAGATTCGTATTCGCGTGCGGGAAATCATTTTTGATAATATGATTCGTCTTTCCTATGATGCAGGTAAAACAACCTCGCGTTCACAATATTTGAGTGTTTTAAATGTGTGTATCACAGTAATTTATTTCCAACACTTAGACTATTGGAAATAATTTACTTTTAAATTTGTCGAAGATCGTATAACGCTGTCTTTGACATAAATGGTAATTTTTATTTTGCTTAGCTCTACAACTTTCTCGTATGTTTAATTGATTAATACGCGGACTTTGAGCTTAGTTCCTCTAGTTTATCATGTTCCATTACTACGCTCAATGTATGTCGTGTGAATAGGAATATTATCTGTAAACGAACAAGTTTATTAGAAACAACTGATTTTCTTCTTTCGGCGAAACATAATAATAATCAAATTCACTCCATATGTCATATAACTTTTTTAAAGATATATTATTGGATAGTGGTGTTTTTGCAGCAATATAGTTTTTTGTGATGATTTTGTATTATTAAATCAATTATAGCTTTCTTCAGTGACACAAATTTATAATTACCTTAGATTACACACATAATATACATATTAAGACATTATAAAACATTGCTGTAATATAAATACGAATTAAAAAATTGTTGATTATTTATCTAATAAAATTGTTTTATTGCCAAAGAATATTATAATCTTGATACGCACAATATTGCAGCGATTTATTGTTATATAAATGATTGTGATCGCGCAGGCAGATTGATTTGTATGCAAAACTAAATGAGGCAAAACTTAGTGATATATGATAAATATATTAAGTGATGATATTTTTATTACATATTCTTGTTTTGCAACTTGCATTGTCCTATTGCATTATACACACAGGAATATACCAGAACTTGTGATGACTTTACGATATTGCTGGGGAAGACCAGAACCAAAATACATATTTATTTCTTTGTTTCATTGGTGAATTATAAACGGAAAAAAGATATTTAAAAAAATATCAATTTGGAATATTCTGTGTGCATATAAACATTATCTATTATTTATATATTAGTTAATATTTTCTTATTTTGTAATAATTTATAAATATTGTATGAGAATAGTGTTATTTTAATTAATGCTATTAATCATTATATTTATTTGTGTATATCTTACATATACCTGTGTATTTTTATATATATTCTTTCTTGTAGTGTAAAATATATATTTGGTTCGTTATCTTTACTATGGCAACACACAAACGGAAACATATCAAATCAGAAGTTGACGTTTGATGTCAGTATAGTTGTGAGATCGAATTTAAAAGCTTTTCTGACTCGATCTTTAACTTTCGACTTGACGATATGTCTTTGACATATAGTTCATAGTTCAAAACACAAAGTTGTAAAAAAAAAAAATTTGACAAGCACTATACAATGACGCATAATTAGTGGATAATGATATCAAGATGCTTAGAAGAAAGAAGAAACGTGGAGAGAAAGAGAAGAAAGTGCGGAAAAAGTGTTTGAACGAACGCGAAACAGTGTCCTACGAACAGCAAATTCTAGACAACAATAAACAATTGTCGCGGTATGTTCGAGAATAAGAATGACGCATCTTGCATATTTAATCATATACGTTTCTCTTTTAAGACTGCGAAGTCGAAATGAAGAACTCGAACACGAAGTAAAAGTTCTAACGAAGAAGTTCGAGCAGTTGAAGGAGGATCGATCTGACGTCGTAGCACACTTGAAACGAAACTTGGAGGGCAAGATAGAAGAGTCTCGAGAGCTGAGCGAACGTTTATTGGCTTTGGAGGAATTGAGAAAGCAGGAACAGGCCGAATACAAGAAGAAAGAGAGCGCGATGGAGCTTGAATATCGTACTATGGAGAGTAATTTAAGCGCGGAGGTGAAACTCGCAGGTAATATATGTCGTGGATAGAATATGAACAAATGGAAAAATTATTATTAATAAATAAAATGTATTGTAATTTTTCTACACGTTTTACTTTTTTTTTTTTTTTTTTTTGCATCAGCCGGGAAGCTGAACGCTTTAGAAGACTGGAGATTAGCCCGCTTGGATCTAATGCACAAGTTCGAGGTACAAGAGGAGCAAATCGCGAAACAAGAAGAGTCGCACAAAACAACGCTCTACGAAACGGAGAAATCAGTTATTATTGCAAAGGCTAAGTTAATAATTTGTCGATCAAACATTCATCATTGTATCTACACTGTAAAAAATGTTCTACAAATTCACACATTTTTGTCTGAATTTTCAGATCTGGGTGTCTAAAAGAAATTTCAGACAATCTGTCATCTTAATCATCAGAGTTGTTTTTCTGAAAGTTCAGAAGAGCGTGTCTGAAACTTGAAGTATATCTGAAAATTCAGACAGTGTGTCTGCAAAAAAACTGCAGACGCTTTGTCTAAAGTTTTAGTCATTTTTTTTACAGTGTATGTTTGAGTAACATGCTATGAAAAATTACTAAATATCGTTTAAAAAATGTTTACTAAGTAATCTCGTAATAAACGGAGAAAAATTAACGTTCTTCCTTCTAGTTTGGCTATTTTTTAAGACTCGAATACTTTTTGCACATCATTTATAGAATGCAAAAGGAGATGGAGGAACGATTAAAGCAGCTCGCTCAGGAATTCAAAGAGGCGACGAATATTCGCATAGCGGACATGATGCGCAACACGGTCAGGAGAAATATCGCGTTAAATCACGAGTTGAACACGATGCTGAGGGTTTGCGAGGATCTGGAAACGAAGAGCGCCGAGTGCAAAGATAATGATCGTGTGCTCAGATTACAGTGCGAATTATTCGAGACGGAGGCGAAAATCGCGATGAACGACGCGATGAAACAGAAGCGCGCGATGCACAAGCTTGCCCAGGAACACATAGACACGGTCTTCGAGTACGGGCGAGTGCAACGAGAAAACGCTAGGTTCAACAATTACGAACGACTGATGAGCGAGTACAGAGTGATCTGCGAAGCGTCAGAGCAGAAGGTGAAGATCCTCGAACGACAATTACAAGAAACGAAAAAAGCCAGGGAAGAAGTCCTGATAGAAGTGCGGATTAAATGCGAGGAGTTCAATAAATTGAATGAGACTATGAAGGAAGCCAAACGATGCGTCCTGCAAGCGTTACAAGTATATCTCTTATCGTTTTATTACGCGCGGATATAAGGTACAACATAAAAGAGAACATATTTTTTTTTTTTTTTTTTTCAGTTACAAGAGGATGCCTGCACGAGCGATATTTGTGCTTCATGTGGCGCCGATCAGAAACAGAAGATTATTTATTCGCTTCAAAATATCCTGGAAAAGCATAATAATTCCGATGTAATCAAAGATGATGATTCATAGGTGAAGTGTAATACGTCATATTTATAACACGCCTTGTATAGCGTGGAATAATTTTATATTGTTTCAATATATATATATATATATATATATATAATATTCTCATATTAATTAAAATTTTAAAAGATGTATAGATTAATATATTTAATTTTTGCAAATATTTTTTATAAAAATGACAATAGAATAATATTTTCAATATATTTTATACCATTCTTAAAACTTATCCAGAAAATATTCTATTTTGAATAGAATGGTATAAAATGTGTGTTGAATTATACGACATAATTTCAGATGGATTAAATCGAGTCTGAAACTTTAGAATAACATAACTCTCTCCTTTCATTCTCACCCTGCAGAAGAGCATAAGAGAAAAAGCGCGCGCTTTTTTAATCGACATTCGCGAAGACGGATGCACGCAACACTATTTTAAAAAATCGAAATTATCGTACGTCATACATTCGTAAATCGGTCATGTGATAGAATATTTTGCGTATGCGCAGATGATCGTTCAGAAAATTACAATTTCACGTTGATGATTATTTGAAAAATCTTCGCTGTCACCGACGAGATTGCACATCCCGTTTAAAATATATCTTGTAAAAAGGACGTTCTTTGCAATTTCAACATTGTTCGATATGGAGCTGCATTTACAGAGCGAGGTTACGCTCAATCAGCTGATGCTAACAGCTGTTAGCTGCATCAGACCTAATGCGGTCTCGGGCCTAAGGTCATCGAGTGGGAAAGTGTAGTATATGAATATGCGTTGACTTTGTGACTCGCTAACATCATACACGGACCGATACCTGCGAGATCCAACACGATCGCGCCTGGCGATTCGGAGAGTCACGAGATTCGAATCCGTCACACCGGATCTGTACACGTCCGATAAAATGCAACGTGATTATCATCATGGAACGTGAAAATATGACAAGTCAGGCCGGCGGGGCGGCCGCAATTTTGAATAACGATCTGGAGTTTTGGATGACACGACTTCCGGCACCGCTCAAGGATATATCTATAATACATCTGGCGATACCCGGTACGTTTAAATCGTTTCGTTCGATGCGTAGTTGTACAATAATTTGGTACAGTTTTTAATATTGTCAATAAGATGTACATCTTTTTGAAAAGACGAAAAGAAGAAGATATTTATATATACAACTGAAATATGATTTTTTTATTCGATTATATTTGCTATAGAAAAACGCTAAATTTTCCAAATGCTTTAGAATACTACGTTGAAATTATTTAATTATTTGTCCCATTCTTATTTAGAATAATGTGGCATCAGTTTTTTTTTTTAAGATTTCGAGATTAAAGTTCCAAATTTTATATCCTATTTCGTAATTTTATAAGAGAGAACCGAATTTTTTAAATTTGTAAATACTTGGTGCACAGCAAATAAATAATACTCTCGTTGGTAAAGGAATATGTTCGGAAAATACAAAGGAGAATTTCATTAATTGCGCAAATTTCATATATAATTTTTTAATTAATTTTTAATTAATTTTTTATAAAAAGCTAATATGAACGAGTAATCTAATGACTATATTTATAGCGTCCAGTATACGAACAATTAATTATATTTCCGACAGGTTCTCACGACACCATGACTTATACGATTGAGAAACGCAACGGCGTGGGACCGGACGAACCGGCCTTCATCCGTACGCTCGGTCGTTACTGCTCCTTCATTGCCAAGCCCATTATTCTAAATTGGTCTATTACACAACGAGACGATATCAAGCAACAGCTCAACGGCGGAATCCGATATCTAGATTTACGCGTCGCCACGAAACCAGGAAGTAAGGACGTGTACTTCCTTCACGGTTTATACGGCTCGGAAATTAGCAAGCCGCTTTTGGATGTTGCCGATTGGCTTACCTCGCACGCGAATGAGATAGTCATTCTCGACTTCCAACACTTCTATGCCTTCACGGACAATGATCATCATCGTTTTATAGAGAGGATATATCAGATCTTCCGCGGGAAATTGTGCCCGGTCTCTTCCACATTCGATCACATAACGCTGAGATGGCTCGTCGCGAGTCGGTATCAAATGTTGGTGATTTACAGGAACGTTTACGCGCACAATTACACGAACCTATGGCCGTCCGGTCTCTGGCGCACCGTGTGGCCTAACACCGTCCGTGTGGACGAACTGATCGATTTTTTGAACGTCGAGCTGCAGAGCAGATCCTTGGATATTGCATTCGTATCGCAATGCCTGTTGACGCCGGATACGTCTTATGTTTTAAAACATCTGTGCGGTACCCTGCAAAGAGATCTGGTGCCCCTCTGTCAGAAGGCGATTCTCTCTTGGATAAATCAGAAACGACCTGGCCGCGGCGGGCTGAATATAGTTATAGCGGACTTCGTGTCGAACAGCAACTTTCTGTTTTCCAAAACTGTCATTCAGAGTAATACGAAACTCCTACGCAATTCTGTGGAAGTTTTCTAGACTAATAATTCACGTTTCCCGCTTAAGAGTACAAATGCGCAACACGGCAGTCTTTAGATACTAACGTGTCGCGTTCCACATTATATATATATATATATTCATCTGATGATGAGTAAATATCACCCAAAAACTGTAGATTGTTTAGCATATGATAACAATGGTAAAACTAACGCAAAACAAGTTGCGACTATTAACATTAAAATTTTTAAGATGTATATTTCTAACTTACAACGGCCTATTGTAATCGCAGTTATACATATTTAAGCTAAACACAGTGGCACGTTATTTGGAAAACAGACGTTTAATTAATCTTATATACAATAAATAATACGTATATTTCCGCTTTATGCACTCTAGGATAAGCTCAAGTCTGATTCTTAGTACAATACTCTCTCTCCATATATTTGTGTGATGGATTCTTAATAACATAAAAAGATATTAGATACACTTATTATGTAATTATATTGAAATAATGTCAATTATTAAATTAATAATATGTTTATCCCAGATACGGAGAAAAAAGTTTCTTGAAATGTTAGTACGGATATCTTTTGGATACAAATATTACTTAAATGTTAATGTTTAAGGGAAACGATTTCACTGCTATCTTATCATATTAATTTGTTGGTATGTAGCATCAAAAGAGATATAGCATCATTTCTAATGCATGAGTATAGTAGACGCTAAATTTTTATTATGATTCTTGTTTCAACAGGAGAAATATTATATATTATATATCTCTATGATATTTAAGTATACAAGCTGGCAGTAGAGCAAATAAAGTATATGTCACACAACAAACTTACTATTCGCAGGATATTTGCATTCACAGTCGTTTGTACTTTCTTTAATAAGTTCGATACTTCGTGTGCGAGAATGCTGAGTGAATATGTGAATAAATGAAGATATAAGTTTTGCATAATCTGTAGATAATTTGGACGAAGTACATCTTTTAATAAATTCTCCTCTTTGCGAGTATTTCAGCGGTAGTAAATGTTATGGTTCTCTAGAATCTGCGACCAGCTCGTTAGTTTTGATCATAACTGGTCATAAAGCTTTCACCTTGAGTTGCTTCATTCTAGGAGCACGTTTTTTTGCCTGCCTTCGTTGTTCCTTCTCTTCCCATTTCCTTTGTTTATCAGGATCCTCCTCTTGGAGAATTCTCTCCTTCTCGGCTCTCCGAC